AGTAAGAAGGGCCTTGGTGAAATATATGCGGTTAGTATCTCCTGCTTGATTTATTTGATGCAAGAATCCCTGGCTGCTTTTTTGATATATCTGTCCCAATTTCTAATGGTGTCACAGAAAGAAAATTACAACTGTACCATTTTTTTTTCGAATCAAGCACCTTGCGCAACCACTTGCATTGGGAGCCGATTTGTTCCCTAAAACTGAAGTCTCAGCCGCTAGTTTATATTCCTTGGCAGAAATTTTCGTTTGTTTCGTTTGTTTTCTAGAGCTGGCACAGTCAGTTTATATTGATAATCACTAAATATGTGATATAATAGCACTTGCTCTTTAAGTAAAAGAGCGATAGTAGATTACAGTTTGAACACAGTGAGACATACATCTTCAGATTAAGTACGCATTATATGTGATGTGTCTTAATATAATTTCTTAGGAGGGCGGTTTTAAACTTACTTTTTATCCTTCTGCAGGATGAGTATGCTCAGAAGACTGGCCTGGTTTCACAAGCATTGTCTTTCTCAGATGAGCAAAAAAAGGAGGTACGCTGGGTTTACTTGGATAGTCTCTGTTTCTTAGCTCACATTAGTAGTTCTCTAATCATTTGGGGTTGCAAATATTGTTTTATGTTCCATTATAATGTCGTCTCTTACAGATATTTCACTTGATGTTGTTAGGCAAGTCTTCTTTTCAAGAAATTGTGCTTGAAGTTGGATGCTCTATCGCATTTCCACTTCACTCCAAAACCAGTATGCATCCATACTTATCTTTGTTTTGACCAACATGTTTGACACTTCTTTGACCTCCTTAGCCTTGTTTTTTGTATTAATTCGAATGAAATAACTTGTACAGGTGATTGAAGACATGTCTATTCAAACAAATGTACCTGCTTTAGCAATGGAAGAGGTATCAACTCTTCTAGAAACATCTCATTTATTCATAATGCTGCATCAGCTGTGGCACTGGCCATTAGTGGTTTTGTTGGCTAAATATTTTATCTTCTTTTTGTTTTTTCGTGGATGTAGATTGCACCTTTGGCAGTCTCGGATGCCGCCATGCTTGCTCCGGAGGAAGTATTTTCTGGCAAAGGAGATATCAAAGAAGAAGCAGAACTAACACAGGAAGATAGAAAGAGGAGGAGAGCTCACAAGAAAAGGAAATTTAAAGGTAATCCTGGTTGCCATCAGTTCCGTTCATTGTTGGTGTTGGTTTGATTAATGCGGACGGTTAAGTTACCCCAGGCCCAAGAATGCCATTTTCAGATATAAAATCCTCCCTTCACATGTTTGACTTGATACGTAGTTTAACTAAAAATGTTAATTGTCAAATATCTAAAATACATCTTCTGGACTTAGATTAATACCAACAGCGTATTTGTAAACAAATAGGTAAATTTAGGATCCTTTTGAAAAAGGAAAGGTTAGCATTTTCCCAAAAGTGAGGTGTTGCAATGTTCATAGGGCGTGTATAACCAAACCAAACCAACAAGCCAGTATATCCCACCTGGAGGTGTGGTGTGTGCCTGACCTCTACCCTAAGAAGTTAGAGCGGTTGTTTCCTTGAAGACCACCCGGCCAGTGAAAAGTTTGAGAAACGGAGAGGAACATATACGCTAGGCTAACTTAGTTGTTGCAATTTTCATAGAACTTGTATAACCTTTTAAAATCTTACTTAAAACATAGGTGGTAGACACCTTAAGACACTTGGTTATTTCAGTGATTTGCATGATTCTATGGGTTGTTAATGAACTTGTGAGATGGTCCGTGTGCTGAATCCTTCTAAGGCCAGAAACGTTGCCTTGCTTGATTCGTTTTATTTTCTCTGAATCTTAATGACAGCTGAGAATGCAAAGAGGATAGCAAAGAAGCCAAGGGAAAACACAGAGACAGCCGCTGATGGTGATATTATCATTCTATAATCTGCAAGTTTTTGCCATTTTACATAATCGTGTAGCCTCATATTTTTGTTCCTATTGCAACAGGCAACGAAGAATCATGACTTAATATCAAAAACTCGTTTGCCATTTGATTGATATTTTCGAAAGCATATTTCTGGTGGTTTTTGATTCCACACTGATGGAGGAAACAGAGAACTCTCGGAATAGCAATTGTTGGCTGAACGGTCGATGGTCGTGAATTATGCGTCATCCATTTGGGAAGTTTTGTTCTAAATATACTATAGAGGTGAAGGCAAGTATATCATTTGGGTAGAAACTAGAAAGAAGATTGAGTTTTTTCTATTGAAATATCAATTCCAATCATTTATTCTTAGATTTTCCAGATTTGTTTTCTGACCTAAGAGGGACAAGATGCCATTTTGAATTTCTAAAAACAATCATTTTTTTGTTCACAAAATATATATTTTTTCAAGCTATTTTTTTTTATTAACCTGGATATCCAACCCGCTATGCGAGTCGACTAATCTCAGGGCGACCACCTGCTTTGTAGATAGCCCGGAGTCACTGCATTTGAACGTCCGTGGCCACAAAGGGATTTTTATTTCTCCTTGGATTTGAACTTGAGACCTCCTAGTACTTTTGACCTTTGGAGCCAAGCTCAAATCAATCAGGCACCACCCTTGTGGTTACATCTAAATGTTCGAAAAGGGTATGACGTTTCTCGTATGATCTAAATGTTCGAAAAGATTCTATGGAAAAAAGGTCATAAGGTGGTAACACGCAAGAGATTTAAGTTTGTATTTTGTGCCATCAAGCCTTGTAACTTAAAGACTTTTTTTATTAACCTGGATATTCAATTCGTTATGCGAGCCAACTAATTTCAGGGTGACTAGTTGCTTTGCAGGTAGCCCGGAGTTACCGTATTTGAACTTCCGTAGTCATTAGAGGATTTTTATTTCTTCTTTGGATTTGAACCTGAGACCTCTAGACATTTTTTACTTTTAGTGCCCAAGCTCAAATCAAACAAGCAGCATCCTTTAGATTTTTTGAGATTTATGTGGTGTTTTTCGTTGAAATGAAACTTTCTATGGATTTTGCCTTTTTGAATAGATTTAGATGAGTTTGTTTTCTTATTTCAATACCTCTTGGTCAATGTGGTTTGCTTGAAAATTGGATTTCGTCACTTTCATCTGAAAAGTTTCTTGCTTTAACTTTTTATTTCCTTAACTATATTCTTTTTTGTATTTCCTTAGCACTAGTTTGAAGTTTGCATTTTCTTTTGATTTATTAATGTAAGTTTTTAATTAAGATTGATTTTGGAATTTTTTTGGTATTTTTAAATAGTATTTGTAAGCATTTATATTGATTATTTAGTGAAAAAACACTAAACAGCTCATTGGGGGTAAATTGGTCATTTTAACCAGTTCTGTCATGTCCTGTCATGTCTTACCAAACACTGAACAGCTGTCTTGTCCTGTCTTGTCTTGTCTGCGCACCAAACAAACCTTTAATCTAAAATAAAATAATTATTTGATAAATATGATGAATAATGATGGAATTTAACAATATGGGTCAAATCAAGAGTGTCCCCAAACGATCGGCAAGAAAAATTATTACTAAAGACTATCACCGGACAAGTGGCAATGAATACTTAGATGAAGTTTGGCTTACAAAATATTTTTGGATGAATGAAATCCGTTGAAAAAATTTAGTTTTGAAAGAATTGAAATGTTTTCAGGTTTGACCACCTGTTTGGTTATCATATATTGAAATAAAATCTGTTAAGAAATTAAAATATATCTGTTTGATTCACAAAATGTAATTTTGGAATTATAACGGAATATTGATAAATGGCCGAAATGCCCTTTTTGAAAATTTTAATTTTTTTAAAAACTAAAAATACTTTAACAAAATAATTATTTTAATATGTAAAACGATATAAAATACACAACCAAATATAACCATAAGCCAAACGTCGTTACTAAATCGACGGTGGTCAGCAGTGGTTCAGATTGGTGATGGTCCACGATGGTTTAGATCAGTGGTGGTCCGCGTATTCAGATGGCGGTGGTCGACAGTGGTTCAGATTGATGATGGCCCGCGGTGGTTTAGATGGATGGTGGTTCAAATCGGCGGTGGTTTAGATCGGCGGAGGTCACCAGTGGTTCAGATCGACGGTGGTGTGTGATGGTCCAAATGGCGGTGGTCGGCAGTAGTCTTCAGATTGATAGTAGTTCAGATGGTGGTGGTCTTCAGATCGATAGTGATTCAAATTGGTGATGGTTCAGATCAGGGGTGGTTCATATTAGCGATGGTAGTGGTGGTTCAGATCAATAGTTGTTCTAATCGTTGGTGGTCAACGGTGGCCGGCAGTGATTCAGATCGGTGGTAGTCACCGTGGTTCAGATGGAAGTGGTCAGATGTGATTCAGATGGCAGTGGTCAGATGTGGTTCAGATCGACGATTGTTCAGATCGGTGGTGGTAGGTGGTAGTTCAGATCGGCGGTGGTCGGTGATAGTTCAGATCGGCGGTAGCCGATGATGATTCAGATCAGTAGTAGTCGGCGGTGGTTTGGATCTGTGGTGGTCGATGATGGTCATATTGAGTTTTATGAGATTAGAGTATATTAGGTTAAAGGCATATTTGCTATTATGAAAATGGAGAATTCAATTTCATTCCATCAAAATATCATGTAGTTGATAAGGAATGTTAAATTCTTTTATTTGTGGAATTTGTAAGTTTTTGAATATTACTTTTGTGAAAAAGAATGAAACAAACATGAAACAAACGAGGGAATGAAATTTGGTCAATGAAATTTAACATTCCAATTCTAGCGAACCAAACACCCCCTTGGGTTACTCGGGTTGGGGAATACCTCTAAAATTCAACACTATCACTTACTTACCACATAGATATTAGTCCACAAAAACAATATTGTATGCAACAATTTACCCGATAAACTCTAACCGTAGTAAGAGACAAGGACGCTCACTTACCCCGTAAGACTCTCAATCTTTGCCTACGCTCTTACCGGATAAGATTCTTGATCCTTGCCATATGAATCCGATAAAGTAATATAACTTAATAAGCACTTACTCAGATAAGTGTTTGGTAAACGGCCCCTTAATGACTTCATAAATTAGTTCTGATCCTGATTCAACTCCATATCCATCTATCCTCTCACTTATAAATCTTCAGACCACAAGAGAATAACAAACTTAACCAAAAGCATGCATTATGTTCCAAATAGAAATGAAAACAACCACAATGAACACTAGTCCTGTTTTCTTGTTCCTAAATCCATATGATGAGTCTAGAGCTGAGCAGAGTTGTTGGCAATGGCACCTGCTTCAGTCAGCATTGGCACCAACTTCCCTGCTTGATGCTTCTCCATAACAGCTGTGCATCAAACAAGTTATACTTACAATTACACTTAATTAACACCAACCATATTCATCACCAAAACCACTCACCATCTGAACCACCGATGTGCTTCCCACCGATGAACACATTTGGGACGGTCCTCTGACCCGTCCACTCCGCTAGAGCTGATTGAACTTCATTACCATCACCTTAATTCCAATATCATTCATTAAATAACAATGTTACTTCTCCTACATATATATTAAGTCATTTCACGAAATCTAAGGCTTACTTTCTTCATCCAACTCAACAAGTTTGTAAGACACATTAAGCTCCGAGAACAGCTGTTTCATCCTCTTGCAGAATCCACAGTAAGTTTTGCTGCCAAAAATGAGTAATTGATGGGTTTCTTTAAAACTCTATACCTCGTCTTTTTTCTTTGTTTTTTTTTATTAACCTGAATATCAACTTGCTATGCGAGCCAACTAATCCCAAAGCAACCACCTGCTTTACAGATAGCCTGGAATCACCGCATTTAAACCTTCATGGCCACAAGGAGATTTTTATTCCTCCTTGGATTTAAACTCAGGACTTCCTGATACTTTTAACCTTTGGAAACAAGCTCAATCCAATCAGGTACTACCCTTGTGGTTCACAAAGGGATTTTTATCTTTTTACTGTGTTACTATTAGTTTGGATGTATTTAGCGATAAGGGATTCCATTTCAAACCTATTCCTGATTTTTGGATAAAAATAGAAGTAAAAGTAAATCAATAGTCACCAAAAGTTGCATTTTCCCCCCTTTTTGCAAGAGATATTGTGATTACGAGATGCCTTCTCTCTAAAAAATTATAATGTATTTGACCGTAAATATAGATATGAACCATGGTTTCTTCATGGGCATTTTCAAGATTTGTCCCAAAATTCAAGCTATTATCGCGTACTGTAGTTCATTTTTTTTCATTTTTTACGGAAAATTTCAAGGGAATTAGGTTTAAAAATTTAATTTCTCTACGATCGACGGATAATAGGTGCACATAAACATGAAATTGGATGGTGCAATTACTCAGAACATGATAAGCACAAGATGATGAAAGTCGAATGGTAACTGAATATAGCAATAACATGAACTTGATCGACTAATTGAAGATCAAAAACGCAGATAAAGAATTGAAGAGGTGAAATTGAAACCTGAAGACGACGACGGGATGAGAAGAAACGATTTCCTTGACTTTGGGAAGAGCCATTTGGATGTCTTGTGTGGATTTGGTCCAGACGCTTCCCATTTAAAAACCCTATTGTTGCTTAATGATCAAGCAAGCAGCAGGTGTATGAAGACGGCTTTTGCTTAGTGTATTCATACCGTTCCCCCACTTGGCATTTCAAAACAGATTCCCACGTCATCTCCGAACGTCTCCAAATTTTTTATCACCAAATAAAGTGAATCATGTTTTACTTTGGGGTTGATATCCCCACCCCCCTTAAATCACTTTTCACCCCCCTCCTTCTCACACCAATCCTCACTCACACCCTCACAACTTTTCCTCACAACTTTTCCTCACTTTCACCCTCACATACTCACCCCCCTATACAATCACATCCCCCTCACATGCATCTATAGGAGGGGGTGGAGTTAGAAAAACCCTTTACTTTCCGTCTATTCTTTAAAATGGCTCATACTATTTTATTTTTACTTTAATGTTCATACTATATAATGAGATATATTTTGATTTTAATATTTTATTTTATTTTTATTTCAATTGATATTATAATATAGATTTATATGATTTTTAAAAAACAACAATATTTTTTTTTAAATAAAATATAAATTTAAAAATATCATAAAAATTCTTTAAATTTGACAAAAAATATATAAATATTAGTATCAAATTAGCTATTTAAAATTTTTTATTTTTGTGTAATTTTTTAATTCAATTTTTTATTATAATTTAGTTTAGATTCAATGACGAAGTAATTTATATTTGGTTTAATAATATAATTTGTTAAAAATATAATAATTAATTATTTTGTTAGAACTCAATAATTATCTTAATTATATTTTAGATTTTTTATATTTTAAAAATAAGATATTTTTCCTTTATTTGATTATGTTTATCCATAATTAGTTCCATGAATTCAAACATGAAGCTTTAATAAGTTGTACTTATGTACAATTTACTTTTAATCTTGAATTTTAAGTAATATACATCAATAAACAATACTTTATGCATAAAAATGATTTTTAAGAGTTTTTGTCAAATACTTTATAATATAGTATAGATAATTTCAAAATTATCATCTTTATCTTTATAATTTAGAATTTATTGTTATATTTGTCTTTATGGTTTACAGTTCATTGTTATTATAGCCTCGTATTAAAAGAAATCGAAGTTAGCTTCATGAAAAGAAAGTGACAATGAATTATTATGTAATATTAATAATTATAAAGTCAATAAAAATATATCAAAAGTAGGAAAGTTGTCACTCAACAAACTTCATGATAAGAGCTAATGTTCTTGTACAAAAACTCAAAGAGAATGAGGTTAGTGACGGATCCAAGATTCTTTGGAATGATAGCACAATATAATTATCGTAATAAATAAAACTTAGAAGTTCATTATTATTATTTTGGGTTATTTAGATATAAATCAAATATTTTAGTTATTAAAAAAAGGACAAAATGCGCGAAATAACAACTTGTTTTTACAAATTTTCTTATTATAGCATTCTACTTCCAGTTTTTCTTATTACAACAAGGTACTTCTAAAATATTTTTTATTAGAACATCATATTTTCAAAAGTTTACCCGTTATAGCATTGGATAACCTTTTAAATTAAATTTACACATTATACCAAGTTTCTTTGCCACCTCATCGTCCACATAGGCTAGCCACATGTACGATAGTGCTGACATGATATTTTTTAGTATAACATTGTGCTTTTAAAATTATTTTTTTATAACATCATCAATTTATATCACAACATTGTACTTTTGATTTTAATATTTCTATCATTTAAATATTGTAAATTTAATCAAATATGTTTACTAAAAAATATACTATCAAATTGTATTAGTGATGCTTGTATGTGTTAGCTATTTTGATTTGTTTGCAGAGTTTTAAGAGAGAGTTTTTTTTTCAATTAAAAATAGAGTGTTTTTTATTTAAAAAATATAACATTTAATTTAACAAAAAACTTACCTAATGGTAAAAAAGATTAAATTTCATGTATTGTTTAATATATTATTGCAGATATCTTAATGCTAAAAAAATTATCGATTTGGGTGTTCTTTGCCTTCTATAATATGTCAAAAAATAAAATAAATAAAAAACGATATTATATTAATGCTAAAAAAAGTTGTGGATTTGGGTGTCTTTTGACCAAATGGCTTCTGGTTGGCCTTGCCTTCGGTTGGTCTTGAAGTTCTGGTTGATAAGACCAGAAGCTTTGGTTGTCCATAGGGGCTCTGGTCCTTAAGGACCATAAGACATCTGGTTGGTCTTGTTTCTAGTTGGTAAGACCAGAAGCTCTGGTTGTTCAGAGGGGCTCTGGTTGGTGTTGCCTCTGAGCTTTGATGCGATGAAGTATTTTGTGATTGCACCAACGTGTAGTGATGAGATGGGTTTTTGCGCCAGCGTGTTGCGAAGAAATGGGGTAGTCTCACCCAGTGTATGTTGGTCGCACCAGTGTGATGCAATGAGATGGTTCCCGCATAGTGTGTTGCGAGTAAATGAGGTTGTCTCACCCAATGTGTTATGAGGAAATTATGGTTTGTTTATATGAAGCATTGAGTTCATGTTTATGCAATAAATGGGTATTTTTGTGGTTTGATGTGACAAAAGAGGGTTGTTTTGTCAAAACATTATATATTTGTTATTTATTACAAATATGGCTTTTAGAAAAGGGTTTTGGTGATTTTCACCCTGTAATTGTATAACTCACTAGAACACAAGGTCTAACCCTCATTTTGGTGTTTTAAAATGTACATTACAGGTCAGGCAACCAGTTGATAAGGGAAAGAGAATTTATGAAGAAATATATGATTGTCTGCATATGGATTTTTGGGATAATGTGCTATTACTTGTACCTGCATGTTGATTATGAGTACAAGTTTGTATATGAGATTATGGAAGAAAACTTTAGTACCTACTTTTATAATGTAGCTTTTGTATATTTTGGACTCGGTGTGTAAGCTTGTATTTCTTGATTAGAGAATGAAGGTGACGGTGAAAAAATGAAAAAAAAGAATGCTTTATATAAATTTGAAAAATGGTGAGTTTGGTAATCCCACATTTGTGAACAGATTTTATGAACCACGTGAGCATATACTGACAAGAGGAGATGATGCTTATTTCTGACAACTCATAGGGTTGACTAATTTTAGTCGAATCATTTTTGTGGAAGAAAAAAATCTTCAAACCCGTAATAACGATAGTGATATGCTTGTGTGACATGTCGTTTGAGTTCTAAATAGCATAACAACAGAGCTATTACTAGCACATCTCAAGCTCTTCGTAACAACACATGGTTATCAATATATGAAAATGAACCACTTATAAAAATACATTATCCATTTTAAATTTTATCTCATTAACTTTTAACTAAAATTTACATTGATCATGTATCTATACTATATTATAAAACATTTAACAAAAAAATTTAAAACCATTTTTGATGCATAAAGTACTGTTTATTAATGCATGTTACTTATGTTAATCCTCTCTCTCTCAGTGATTTGATAATATTTTTTCACTTATACGTTGTATTTATGTTTCTGTCTTTTCAGTTCCAGCGATCATCGCTGAGCCTGTTCAGTGATCGCTGAAGAACTTGTATTGTAATTCAATCAGAGACAACGATATTTTAAGAAGACAACACTCACACCAAAGAACCTTCAACTAATGCCGAAGACTGAAACTGAAGAATAGGGACTGGCGAGTACGTGATCTGAAGCGGTACTCAGTGATTACAAGCCTGTCTACATATGTGTGAAGACTGCTCAAGCCTCAGCGAATGCTGAAGAGACATCCAGGTTATTCCAACATTCAGTGATCAAATGAAACTTGCTTAGCACGATTGTTGTTGTCTTGTCCTTATACACACAAAGGACAAACCCATACCCTTCTAAACATTGGTGCGGTACGGGGCCGACTAATTGACTCTATTGCAACTTTAGGTAAAGATATTTGCTCATGAATAGTGCCTTGTGTACTATTCACTATAGCAAAGAATACGCCTTTCTTTTAAAGCTTGACACGCACTTTAACCCTACCATTTTGTATTAAATGAACATTTAATGTACTGGGTATAAATAAAAGTGTTTATTCTCCATGCAGAGTGCGCGCAACTCACTCTCTAAACCTAATTCTTACTTTGAGCATTTTCTAGCTTAAGTAAAGAAACTTTTCTTACAACATTTATTCTCTCATTTGCTAAAAATCTGTGTATAATCAAAGATTGTTTAGATATGTTCTCTTACCTTATCTTTCCACAAACAGTCTTGCAAAATTTGTATTGATTTTCTTTATCAATATACATTTTAAATTTGAAAATATTGTGTTTGTATTCACTCCCTTTTTACAAACTGTTTTACTTATCTTGTAGACCCTCAAGGGACCAACAACTTAAAACTCAAGATTACAAGTAGATTGTGCATAAACACAACTTATTAAAACTCTATATTTAAATTTGTACAACTAACTGCTGATAAACATAATCAAATACAAGATAAACACCTCATCTTAAATATAAAAAAATTTAAAATATAATTAAGATAATCATTATTGAGTTCTAACAATTATTATTTTTATAAAATATTCAAAACTAAAAATAAATTATTTTATTATTAAACTTAAATTAAATTATAATAAAAAAATAAATTAAAAAATTACATAAAAAATAAAAACTTTTAAATAGTTGATTTGATATTAAATATATATTTTTAAAATTTTTTATAATATCTTTAAATTTATATTTTATTTAAAAATTAAATTAAATTATTGTTTTTTTAAAACATATAAAATCGTATTATAATATGGACAGAGATAAAAAATAAAATAAAATATTAAAATCGATATGTATTTCGCTGTATTGTATTGTTCGAGTGTACCTCTAATTTATTTCTAAATATATATTAATATCGCACACTAACCAAGTAACCAGGATCCGATATGTAGCCGGTATAAACGATTCAACGATCGTTTCGTGGAATCTGATTACGGCGCCAAGATGCTGCTATTGGGGAACAGAATCTTCAATTTCCCGCTTTCGCTGTCTTTCGGGACTTTCATCAAACACCTTGAGCGCGCTTCAAATCTCAAACCAACGGTCATAATCAGAAGATCCACAACCACAAAATCTTCAATCATCAATGCATCCCACTTCGAAACCCTGAATCCACTACAAAAACAACAGGTCCACCTTTACGTCGATGCTCTTCTCGATTGGAACCAGGTTTTCCGTCATAATTTTCGTTCAATTTGTGACTCTAGGCTCCTCTCTATATTGTGACGTCATGTTTTTTTGGTTTATGGTTTATAGAAGATGAATCTTACTGCGGTTAGAGAGGCAAGCGATGTTATGGATAGGCACATTGAAGACTCGCTTGCGATTATACCTCCCATTCAAAGCTCATATGTTTCGCATTGTGAATCTTCGTTTGAAAACCTTAATCTGATAGACGTAGGAAGTGGCGCGGGACTTCCTGGATTAATATTAGCAATTGCTTGTCCTGGTAAAACCGCTCTTGGCTTTTCTTAATTTAGTTGTTTGTGGGTGATATATCTTGAAGCATCAAATGCATTGATGGGATTATGAGTGGAGAAAGGATGGAATCCATTGAATTTAAACTGCTGCCGTAGAGATTTTGTTTTTGGCGTGGTTTTCTTTATGTTTTGAAGTAAGTAGGCTGATGACATTGCTTCTGCAGGTTGGCAAGTGACGCTTCTGGAGTCAATAAACAAGCGCTGTGTTTTCCTAGAACATGCGGTTGGCTTGCTTGGTTTATCTAATGTGAAGGTTATTAGAGGAAGAGCTGAGGTATGCCTTTCGGCAAACCTATCAAGCATTTCTGCTATCTCTGTCTACTTATTTTCACGGAGTTAATTGGTGTCACATGAAGCAACTGTATCATCTTCAACAAAATAGGACTTTTGATTTAGAGAATGATCCAATCATAGGCATAATTGGAACAATGGTATCAAGCTTCTTTATAGCATTATTGATTCGAAATGCATTTTCTAATCTTATTTTTAGTTACATTATATATTTGTTTGTTTTTCATAACTTCTGCTATATATGAAGCATGTTTAGTCATCATACATGATGACCATCTACACAGAAACATAAACATATGTTGAATATCTTGTATTCACTCTCCTGGTAGAAATGCATAATATTCTACATATTGTTATAGAGCAGTATGTGGGACAAAATGTAGAATTCAGAGAGGCATTTGATGTTACAGTGGCAAGAGCTGTTGCAGAAATGAGGATATTAGGTACATACTACTACATAGAGGGTCATGAAATGTTTCTTGTGCCTCTGTTTGAACTTCCTTTTTATCCTTGTAAACCAGCCGAGTACTGTCTTCCCCTTGTTCGTGTTGGTGGCTTGTTTGTTGCTGCGAAAGGTCATGCTCCTGAGGTACATGCTTGATTTTGTTAATTTTCTTTGTTATTATCTTTTGTGTCTCCTACGGTATATGCTTAAGTAAAATTTCAAATTATTTGGTTAGTTATTGAATATGTTTCTCTGCCTGTATATGTTTATTGAGTAGGCTGCTACAGCACAGGATCCTTTTGCTTCATGGTAGATGATGCAAACTTCCACAGTATCCATGACATTAAGTTTATGACTAGAAGAGACTTAGAATTGGTTAGAATGCCACCTTTTCTTTGGATCAGTTGGTGATGAACAAATTTCCTGTTATAGAAGGTTCTCTTAACATTGAAGTACTGGAAGGGTTGCAGCTATATAGGTTTCACAATACCATAATTATAATTGGTAGTTACAAATTATGCCAGAATGTATATGTTATTACTCATCTAAAGATTTTTCATGGATTAATTAAAGTGCTTCCTTGCAAATGGTAAATCAGTAAGGCGAAGGGAGATTTCACAAAGCCTAAAGTTGTTTTACTTGAACTAGTAGCTATAACTTACTGCAGCTGTATATGATAGGGAACAACGCTTTTCCTATGATATGAAATCATTTATGTGGGCGAGCTAATGGTATTTGTGCTCTTTATACTGTTAACAGGATGATACATTGTCCATCTTCTTATCATAAATAAGTATACAATCATATATTCATTTTGCAATTCCTTTTATTTTTTTGGTTCTCTTGTGAATTTCAAATCTTAACAATTGCAGGAAGAAGTCAGGAGGGCCAAGAAAGCAATTAGTTTGATGGGTGCTTCCTTGCTACAAACATGCTATGGTATTTGCTTCACTTCCTGATTTTGTATGTTTATCTAGATGTATGTAAGGCTAACCTGAAATAAGTCAATGTGGTCCTTTATTGGCATACACTGTGCACATGTATCACAAAAGTGTCTTGATGACCTGAAAAATATATATTCCCTCCAATATATTGATGCCTGATGAAACCATCACAATGTTTCTCACTTTCTGAAGTTTATTCCTCAATGTTGTGATTTGAATCATGGCGATCTAAGACATTCATGAATCATTCCATCTGTTGGAATCACTATGCAGCCTCCAAGGTTTAGTGGTAGTTTTGGCAGGCCATTAAAATGGATCTAATGCCATCTAGGTTCCAAATATGTTTCCTTTGTACTACCCAACGTGATTGATTAAGAAAATACAACTTAACATGTTATTATTTATGCCTTAACCACCTGTGCAGCCTTGGCACTTTGGCATCTCTGTAGCACTAAGTCAGGCTGAAATGCTCTAGAAGGATCTTGGATGGAGGAACCAATTCAAGGACTTGAAAGGTTTTTAGAGGGAGTTTGTAAAGAAGGCTTTCTTTGTATCACTTGAAAGTTTCTTTGATGGATTACAATGTGAGGGAGACTTCACCTATATATATATGGGTTTCCATCTCCATGGAACATCCTAAATACAAGAATTATATAGATATAAAAACCTTCTAGGTTCTACTACATTGTCCCTATGATCACATGAATTAATAACTCTCTAGATACATGAAAGTCGTATAATAGAATAGGAACTATACCATGTCTTGTGGGCAGAGTAGTAGGTGTCATGCATGCGATTGTGGGGAACCAATGTTGATCAACCTCATGTGATCCATGCAGCCCATGACATTAAGCTACCTAATCAGTCATGGACAGTTTGAAGCACTACCATTGATATTGATTATTTGCGAGATCACCAAATAATGCGGAATAAAATGTTGAACATTTGATGGGCATAAGGTAAATTTCATTTCATTTAATAAGAGCTTCCACCTAATTTTAAATTACAAGGTCCCATTATCATAAAAGCTTCAATTCTTTCTCTGTAATATTAGTTGGTTGCTTGTTCATTGTAAGTTGAGGCAATTTTTCCTAGATTACATTGACAAACTTCAATTACAAGGTCCCATTTTAAATTTTCCTGGCACAACTGTCAGTTTTGTATTATGCAACATTACTGACTAGTGACTCCTGTATTATTCTGTACAGTAAATTCACACAGTCCATATGGACAAAGAACTGCAATCATATGTTTGAAAGATGGTCCCACCCCCAAGAAGTACCCCCGCGATCCAGGTACACCAGCAAAGTTGCCGCTGTAGATAGTCATAACCCAAATGGTCATTAATCCAGCTTACTACTCTCCTTTTTGTTCTTTTTCTTATAATATTTGTAGTGGCAAATTCTTTGTAGTATTTACCCCACCATTGCAATGGTATTTTACTGGGTATATACCCAACAAATGCACATATGCTATGTGCCAAGTTAAAGGTGCTCTTATTGTTTACTTTTCTTCTTTATTTATTATTATATTTCTTTTGCTGTGGTATCCGAAGGGTTAAGAGCAATTGCACCATCTTCAAATCAGGTCATCTTTGCACTGCATGAAAGGCCAAATTTTATGAGAAGGTTTGACAATAGAAAAGGCCCAAGGGTAGAATTAGAAGTTAGTATGTACCGAGGAAGCAGGCTCAACACCTGCAAGATAATCCATATCCCACCTGGTTATACAATCACTGGTTCTTGTGTATCTACCAATATCATGACTAGGCATAGTCAATCTATGATTACTTGAATCCAACTCAAAGGCTGACACGCCCAGGAAGTATGAAATGTCCATCATTTGGAATGGGTTTTAGAACAATTATTGTAAACCATATTTGTTTATGCAGTGCTGGAAGAAACTTGGCCTTGTAAGAAAGTCTGGAAGTATTCCACAAAATGACGCACCAAGTCCTCTATGGAGGAAGTTGCCATATACCGTGATGCATGGCGAGCAAACGAACGGAAGACCATACCCTCTTTAGTAAATATAAGAAGCTTGCCTATTCTATTTTTCATATCGTCTAACATTATTGCTTTATTGAAGTGCACATTAACACCAAAAAGATGGACATATTCTAAGGTATTCCACATTAACTTTTGGTCAACTGCTTTTTATCCATTCGATTTGGGTGTATACTAAAATTTCTATAGACAGGTTTTAGGCATGGTGCACTTAGGTTAATAACAAGCCAATTATTATACGGAAGTAGATACACACACACACACCCCAAGTACGAGGTTGATTAATTTATGCTATTGAACATGAGCATTTTGAGGCCAAAAGTATCATTCGTCTGGGACTTATTTTATTAGATTAACTCTTAGGGACTTCTTTGTTGAAAATGTTGCACCTCTTGAAAAATAGCAAGGCAATTCTTTTACAGAAGTAGCTATATGTTCACCAAGTATGTGTTTGATCATCTATGCTATCGTTCTCATCACCTTTGAGCTTATTCCTTTGGTCCCTCTTAGCCCCCTCTGATTGTTGCCTAGTAATAGTATAATAAAAGATTGGTTGCATAGATATACATCTAAAAAGCTCTTTGTTCAACTCTTACTTTAAATCACTTCCAGACTTATAAGCAGTACTATACTAATCATACCTAGCAGCACAGTAACTTTCATACAAAAGCCCACACGTATGACTTAATTACCTTAGAAGGTAATCACTCCTGAATTTCTTTGAAGCCAAGTCCCCAGCATTCTAGTACTGATGGAGTAATGGCATCCCAGTCTCTAGTCTCTCTCCCTTTCTTAAACTGGTGAGAGTGAATAAAAACAAGAGAAATATGGCTCCCACTATGATGTCATACAATCTAAAACCAATTATGAAATAAGGAAGTCCCTCTAGTATAGAGGGATTAAAATCTGCCAAACTTTAATGTCAGAATCCAGACCACCACTGTAGATAAGATAAGAAGCTGATGTATCAGATGAACTACGGTGATCTGTTTCTGATGTCAAACACTTAACTGGACCTCTGTGCCCCTCCAATACTGCCAAGCAAAAGTAGCATTTCCCTATTCCTCTCCAAATTCTTATGGTTTCATCTGCGGAGCCGCTACACAGCAGATCTGATACTGCACTCAAACATAGTATGGACTTAGCATGTCCCCTGAGAATACCCGCTGCCACCATATTGTCCTCATCAGTCTTCTCCCAAACCATGATGGACCTATCACTTCCGCCAGAGTACAGAATGTTCTCATTGGTACTTAATGCCAATGCGTTAATTCCAGATTTGTGTTTGTTTAGCATATTGACCAGAGTGTGGTTCTTACTTTCTGGTGATTTCCTCCAAAGTTTTATTTTCTTGTCAGTAGATCCAGTATAAACATCCCCATTGCTCGATAATGCAAGTGCATTTATTGCATCATCATGTGCATTAGCTACTGATTCTAGGCATTTGAAGTCAGTTGTCTGCCAAATCTTCAGTGTTCTATCCCATGAGACTGAATAAAGGAGCAAGCTGTCCCTGGACAAGGCTAGTGCTGATACGACATCAACATGATGGACCCATGTGGACTTCTTGTGGCGGCGCACCTGTACATGGTTCTTTGGTATTAGAAGCTTAAGGGCCCTATCCCCAAATGTCGGGAGTGTGGCCAAGTGAGTTAACTTCTGCTGTCGTCCCTCATTTTCATCAACTTTCCATATACGTATTTTGTGGTCTTGATGGGCACTGAATATTTTGTCTCCAGAAACCACTAGTGACTTCACTGCACCCTTTCCTGTGATTATCAAGCTATCACTTAGATTTTCATGATCAACTTCAGACCTTAAGCCATCACGATTCCACATCCGAATTTCTTTGTTAGAAGAGCCGGTGTAAAGTAACTTCCCACCAATGACAAGAGAGGAGATGTAGGAGTTGTTGCCTTTGATAGTAGAGATGCAATGATGTGTAGCGGGTAGGTGGTAATCTGGATGATGGGGTTGTGATGTCAGAGCTGGAATTGGTGGAAGGCTTGACTTGTTATGAGGGAAGCTTGAGTCTTGGTGAAGGTAATAAGAATACTGAAACGTTGAGTCATCTTCTGAGGTAGAAGTTTGAAGACGTGACATCTTTCACTGTAAAGTGAAGGTAGAAGCATGGGGGCAACGAGTTTGATAGCTGAGGAGTTTATAGGAGATTATTGAACCAAGTGTTTGTTTGCCAAAAAGTGTTCCCAGGTCTGGTGGTATTTAATTGAAAAAGATCAAGCCAGCTTAACAACATATGCAGCATTGATGGCCCCAGATGAACATTGAGATTAGTTGGACGATCATCCACTTAAGTTCATATCACTTTAGGTTTCTGTTTAAGTTGACCCCATTATAATATAGTCTATTAGACCCTTTCCTAAAAGTGCAGACATGTGCATCTGTGATGTTTAGCCTTCTCAATTACTGAATGTAATTCCTAGTGCATTTGAGGAAGTTACCATAAGGGTACTTAAAAGTTGTTTCCATTTTTGTCTTAATCTTACATCCATTAAGTAAAGGCCTGAAGTTCCTAATATTCATGTCGCGTAATTAGTCCATCAAGAGAGAGCTAGAGGTAAGAAAGAGAACACCTGATATGGGCATGCATTGAGTATTATGCAGGATTTTAATTTGTAAAATTGTTCAATAATAAGTTTTTTTATAGGACATTTTTAGTGCCTTGACTTAAAGGTAACATCATCATTTTTATTGATCTTCGTTATTCTAATTATTTGAGTTAAGAGGAAACCCACAACTATGATGATACCTCAAATACCGACAGGAATCCTGTCATACATGCTTTATTTTGTTATTCACTGGCCTTACTGAGAGACTGCTCTTGTCTTTTCAACATATACTGTTCAGTTTACACATTTGGATCCTTTACCTAAGTGCCAGACCATATATATGCAAAAATAGAAGTTTCATCTGTTTCCAGACTAAAAGCATCACCCTAGCCTAAAAATCTGGTGTTTGTACTTTATACTTTATACCTAATTCTGTTATGATATCCTATTACCTTTTTCCTGATTCTATGTTGGACCAATGCTATATGCAACTTTATATTCACTGGCTTGCACCCTAATGCTTGTACAGACAGCTTGTAATTCTCCCAATGTGGCCCCAAGGAACATTATAATAGACCAAATAAAAAACTCCATGTCTTTTTCTATTATGGACGGCACTATCAGTAGTTATATATTCATATTATTCTTATGGAGGGGGTCCTCTGGAAGCAACTTCTTTGACTTAGGCTTCATAAACAACCAATTATCTGTTTACAGACATGTTGTTTCCTTCATAAATTACTTGAAGATTGCTGCTTTTTAACATGGTATATTATATGATTACATGTGCATGCATTTGTACTCTTCTTTTGTGCATTTTTGGGAAATTGCCGGCCTATTTAACATTTGCACCAAGTGCACATGCACATATCATGAGTTTGGTGGTTCAATTTCTGTAAAGAGACACTACCACAGCCTTCAATGATGTTGTCATAGAAATCGTCTTGTGGGCACCACATTAGAATTCAAAAGAAACATTGGCTTCTTTACTGGTAAGAATGTCCCCAGGGCCTTTGCTGTTTGGTAAGTGGTTTAGGTCTCACCTTGTCCTCTCCATCTGGAAGGCAATAGCCTTGTATAGTGTCCGAATATAAGCCCACAGACTGCACACACCTTCAACTGCCTCCTCCCTAAAAAAGTGTACATTTATGTATATATTTGGTATGAAGCATGCCTTCTTTATTAGTGTAAACAAATCATGGCTTTTAGGTTGGACAAATATATGATGTCACAGGAACAACTTCTCTCCCCTTGGGACAGTGGAAAGGTGGTTTGTGTATATCTCACCTTCTTCAGAGCCCACCATTATGTGGGATTTACTGGGTTTGTTTGATTTGGTTTTAGAATCTACGATATGTCGTGCTTATAATTCCTTTTGGCAACTTGCTGTTTGATGATATGATATTGGTGCCTGATACCTACATATTGTACGGAAGTCTTTTAGAAACTTCTCTTTGGAGACAGTGACTTGTATTGAATAGTTTTTCAGCTATGGAAGCTGCATATTAATTCAGTTAACATATCATTCGCACATTTTTCTTTCATGCCAGGTTATTATGTTTTCTCACTTATAATTGCCTGTATTTTCTTCTTCATTTTCCTTTTCGGGATGGGTTAGGTACGCGATGATAAGGATGGAGAGTGGAGAGTCTTACCCGGTGAGCGCTTATGAGGTAAATTGTTGCATACAATACCGTTTTAATGGACTACAATCTTGCCCGGTAAAATAAATTAGATTGTTAACTCTTACCTGTAAATGCTTACTAAATGGCCCCTAAATTTCAATTTAGTTTTAGTACTGGGGTGGGCAGTCAATGGTAATAATCACATATAGATCGCCATCCATCAATAGCATTATGGTGCGGCTCATTTGTGGCCTCTGGGAGCAGGAAAATTGAAAATAAAAGGTGTTAATTTGTGGTGGTTTGCATTTCTTGGGTGGTCCAAGTAGGATGCTTGATTATGGTGTTGACCCAACCCCTCTTTTCCCCTACCGACTTTAATTTCAAAGTAGTCTTGATGATTTAGACCTATGATACCCACCTGATTTAGGCCAAATATATCCACAGTAGCAGCAGCCAAGTAGGCATGGCAACGGGGAGGGATGGGGCGGGTTTTGTAATCCTTGGCCCCGGTTTGTAGTAACATCCCCTGGCCTCGGTCCCCGGCAGGTACAGGGATTATCATCTCGTCCCCGGTCAAATCTCTAGCAATTCTCGGTCAAAACCCGGTCAAACCCCACAAATAGTATCCTTTAGTTTGATTTTACCGGGGATCACTGACCCCGTTTTAGCATGGAATTACCGTCCTCGTTCGGGTCGGATGAACCGGGTTCTCTATCGGGTCGGGGCAAATCATCATCCCTTGGCCCAAGGGATGACGGTGGTGGTGGTAAGCAGCAATCCCTTATTGGGAGATCGCAATTTGAGGTTTACCAAACCTAGGGTGACCCAAGAAAGTAAAGGGAACGGAAAAAAATTCGAAAAGAAAGGAAAATAAATGTTATTTTTATAAATATACCTTTATTTATTTTCTAGATATTGTAATTGGATACATGTGTCCTTTTACAAATATTTTTAATTATTATAATCTTTTTTTTCATCTCCTAACCTTATCTTCCATATTTGTGAGGAAAGTTTTAGAAAAAAATAGTATTATTTTCTTACTGATTGGCCGTATAGAAGTTACCTACGGGTAAAGTCGGCTCAGCCACTGGTTTTGTGCTCCTCCTTGTAGGTCGTTAATTCGAATCTTCTCGGAGTCACTTTGATCTTTTTTTGTAAGGGTATCCGGGCCAAAGCCCGACTAATCCCCGGCAATTTTGGAGGCTAAGCATGGCCTAAGCACCCACTTAAATGTCGCCAACACTCCCCTCCCAGGGCTCGAACTCAGATTCATGACTATGCCATGCTCAAACCTTTACCACTAGGCTGGAAGGTCTTTGACAGTCACTTTGATCTTGCTGGTTGTTATCTTCAAAATCTCATGGAATTAGTCGAAGTATGCAAACTAGCGCAGTGTTCGCAGTTTAAAAGAAATTGGTATATTTTATTCCCATAGTCGGTCCCTACCATCCACGAAAGTGGTGGAGGGGATATGATTTATAAGACAGAAGGTGGTGGAGGCTGGGGGCCTGTGATGTGTTATTTTGTAGGAAAGAATTTCCATTAGTTGGATGAGCTTACGTGAAGGGAAAAAATTAAATAATAATATACATTTATTAGGTCAGCAAAGACATAGAATCTTATGATAAGTTCAAAAAGTCTTACATGATAAGTGAAAGTGACAACTTTTATCAGTAAGTGTCGATAAACGCATGTTGATTAAAAATTATAGGATGTGCTAACTTGGCATGTTAAGTCAAGTTTTTAGTATTAAATTAAAATCAAGCACCTTAATATAATTTATCCAGTTAAAATAATCACTCGTTAAGTTAAAACAAACACCTCCTTAAATGTACACAAGGTTCATCGTTTGAATCTAAAACTAAGGATCAAATCCAAAAGGACCTATCTTTTTCAAGGACCAAACATAGGCCCAAGATAGTTCCTTAGTTCTAAAAGAGTCTTAATTTTAGCCATTATAAACGGGGCAGACTAATTGAGTTTGGGTTAACGACCCTTACACCAACTAATTTTAACACAAGATGATTAATGCAAAAGAAAAAAAAAACGAATTCAATATAAAAAACCAGGTTTAATTAGGATCGTTCAATGACTTGGTATCGATCCTTTTACAAGCCTAACGAGTAGTTAAGGATCAGACTAATACTTAGCAGGACCATTTAAAGACTTTAAAACTATATTTAACAAAAAAAAGTTTTAATTTATGTTTGATATTTGATATTTCAATAAAAAAAATTATGAGGTGTTGTATACTTATGATTCTGATTTTGAACTTTAAGGTCTATTGATTTTTTCTTTAGTTAATGGTATGTTTTTTTAAAATATACTTTGGTGTTCATTATTTTGGAGACTCAAAAAGAAGAATGAACGTCAATTTAAAAAATAAGAGGATATAATAGTCATTTATATCAAGGTTCAGAAAAACGTCAGGTATGGCGTGACAGTGAGGTTAAACCTTAAGCCTTACATGTGATGAGGATGCAGTGTTTTTAAGTGTGACATAAAACGACAAAATTATATGTCATATATAGAATTATATATGTAAATATATGTTTTTTTTTCCATATATTATCTAATTAGTAACGATATTAAAAAATGTATATTTATGTTAGAAGAAGAAAAATCATATATATTATTATTATAAAAACAAGTTTTTGATTAAGTATATAAAATAAAACTTAAAAAGGTAATTTTACAATTTTATTTTAACCCTTGGTCTGTAATGTTTATGAATTTGTGAAATTGTGAGTGTTGTGATTAGTTAGATCTATAAAAATGTAAAATCTAAAGTTAAAACTGTAAAAATATAAAAGATAAAAATAAAAATAAAATTCTTGGAAAAAAAATTACATCATACAGAAAACATACTCCTCAATACGCCATGGCGTAAGTCACGCCTTATAGAAACGTTATGGATCATTTCGTAACGGCGGAGACGCGTCTTGCGCGATGCGCCTTTTTGAAACACTGATTTATACTCAATCAACACTTAATACAAAATATAATGTAAACAACCATTTCTAATCAGCACTTATCGTAATCAGTCCTCTTGTTCTAGTCAGACCTCTTAGGGTGCGTTTGGTACATTGAACAGGGACATGACAGAACAGGACAGGGATCCCTGTCCCATGTTTGGCACGAATTTTATGTGGAAGTGGAACAAAGTGGAACATGCCTGTTCCACCCCTACCCCATGGAACAAGGTGAAACAGACTTATATTTTACCAATATAATCTCAAAATAAAACTTAATTATCTTCTAAAACATCAAATAGGTCTTTTTTTTACATTTTATTCATTCTTTAAATTTTATTTATTGTATTTAATGTTTCTTAAATTTTCATTTTACTGTCCTCAAAATATTTTTTGTATACGGTTTCTATATTTTTATTAATTTATGTAATTTATTATATATTAATAATAAAAAATAATGTAGAAAAGAGATAAAAAGAAAAATAAAAAACTACATAAACTTTTTATTTGGTATCATTTTAATTATTTTGACGAAAACTTCAAATGATATATTTTGTTATAAAAAATAACTATTCTATTATAATTTAATAAATTACATAAGTTAATTAAAATAAACAGCTCATCATTGATAAATTTGTCATTTTACTTGTTCTGTTATGTTCAGTTCTATCTTACTAAACGTTGAACAGTTGTTCTATCATATCTTGTCCAGTCTTATTTACACCAAACACAACCTTACTAATTTATATTTAAATTTGGTTTTTTAAAATTTAATTGTAGTTAGAAGATGATAAGTATGGGGGCAAAAAAGACATTATCCAACCCTCACTTGTTTGTTAACGTTCTTGTCGTTGTTCACACCAATCCTCTGTTTATTCTAGAGCTTACCCGCCTGCAAATTTTGTCTTACTCCCTCACCCTTCCGAATCTCTCCTCTAATGGCTTCTTCTACTATTTGTATATACCTGATCACACGCACTTCTCCCAAGATTCATTTCCATGGCTTTCGCCACGACTGCTTCCACCGCCGTCGTGCTGACAACACTCATTGTTTTAGTTACTTTGACAAACTCATCGACCGTCGGAGTTGAATATGTTTCTCGTCTTCTTGAAGTTCAGGATCAAGAGACAGCTCCGCCGTCTGTACAACTTTCCGCTGCTAGAGCGGTGCTTGATCGCTTCATTCCTTCTCATTCATCTAGTTTCGCCCTTGAGATCATCACTAAGGTACAACTGAATTGGTTATTTGTTTGTTTGTTTTGGTTAATTTGCGTTTGTAATTTCTGTCTTGAAGGTCAGTACTTACTTTAGGTCTTACTTTCACTAGAATTGGATTATGATCTTCGATTTCCCCTGCGCCCTACACATCGAGTGGAAATTCAATTGGCTGATAAAGTTAATCGGGTTTCTGATGGATGAAGTAGAGTGACGTTTGGCTCTTGTGAAGTGAGTGGTTTGTCTTCATGGCATACTTGTGAACTTAATAAGAAAAACGTCCAGCTGGACTTGTTGAGTGGTTAAAACTTTCTACCCTTTGTATGTCGGCTGAGCCGGCGGCAAAAAGTTCTCACCTTTGGATGTGGTTTTCTGAGTCTAGTTAAAAATGTAAGAAGGAAAAGAACAGTCAAGATGGTGGAAAATAATGAAATGGTTGGGTTTCAACGGTGTTAAGTTCATCGACAACGACGACAAGCTATAAATATGAAAAAGAAATGTTCCAACGAAAAAAATGTCGAAAAGGAAAGGAACTCTCTTGATGCCACTTTATTGTCTTCTTCATTCCAATATCACCAGTGATTATTGAATGGATGTCACTGGATTCATTTTGTATTATGTCTCTTCAATGAGTTATGCAATTTTATCTGGCTCACCATTTCTACAATACTGTAGTATTCAAGGAAGCTATAATCTCTTGATGCCTTTTTGAATAACAACTTCCTATGAATCCTCAAATGAAGCCAATTAACCAACAGCCTTTGATCATCATATTATGTGTTGTTTGATCTTTATTGACTGACCCATTAAAAGCCAACTGTACTTCTACAATCCTACACAATGTCATGAGCTTTCAATTAGGTATCATTGTACGTCATACTCTAATTTGACGTTTCATGGTGAATTTGGAGAATTTAAACCCGGACAACAGAGGTTGGATATGAATGTAAGGCGGGAAAAAAGAGAGTTTGGGGAAGAAGATTTTGATGTGGCAAATTAAGGGCATTCTTTTACAGTTGCAGTGCTAAATTTGGAAATTGCATCCTTTTCTCCATTTTGAGTGTCACATGGGCACAATTCGTTATGAGTTCAGCACTATTAAAATTACGTTCACTTTTTGCAGTTATATCCCACCAGGAGCTTCTTTTTCTATTTTCACTAGTATTTGGTTTTTTGATGCCTGTTTATTTAACAAAACATGATTTGAGCTGGTTGATCTATTAAATGATTTTCTGATGACTAAAATAAATTGGCATTTGGCAATAGCAGAAAAACATAGGTTGAATTATGTTTAGTTACTAACTGTTTGCAGGTTAAATTAGTTGCTTCAGCACTTTTGGAATCGTCAAATTATCCTACACACTACACACAAACTAGTACTTGACGCATTCTTGGGCCTTCTATTCTGTGGCAACCCTTTTGGTCTTTTCTGTGTGATATGGTGTTTATCTAAAGTCAACTTTTCATAGGTAGTCTCACAATCAAACTGAAACACTGTTGCTTTCTTTTTTATAGGAGCATTGTGGTGGAGTATCCTGCTTTTTGATAAGTAATCATCCTTCCTTGAACATACGGGGTTCCCCTGAAATTCTGTATGCTTCTTCTTTCATCACTTGTACAATTCTTAGATTTTTTTATTTAGAGTTCTGATGATAAATTAAGGGTTTGAGCAACTTATAGTGTTTACAGATCATTGTATGTCGAGACCTTAATGGTATATTTATCTTCAACTGTGGAGTCAGTGTTAGCTGTACATTATCGAGGAAGACTTGGGCTTTGATGTTATTAACATTATATGTTGGCCAGTTTTTGTAGTCTTTTTCTTATGAAAAAGAACCTGGTTTATTCGAAATAACATATCACTTGAAACTCATTTGTCATCTCAGAATTTTAAAAGTGGCCGTTCATGATAGGAGTATGGCTGTATTTTTACCAACGTCAAGATTTGCTGTAATCCAGTTGCTTGTTAATTATGTCTGCTTCTTTCTGTGCAATCTTGGTCAGAATACGTGGTGTCACGGGAGTAGAACTACTGACTGGTCTTCATTGGTACTTAAAAAACCTGTGTGGGGCACATATATCATGGGATAAAACTGGTGGTTCACAACTATCTTCTGTCCCTAAGGCTGGGTCTCTTCCTCGTGTGCAAGATGATGGACTACTGATACAAAGGCCTGTCCCTTGGAATTACTACCAGAATGCAGTCACATCTAGTTGTAAGCTCATGTTTTCTAATTAAATATGTGAAATATGTTAGAAGTGTACTGCATTCAGCCTATAAAATTTTGATATGGTCATGCTTTTCAAAGATACATTTGCCTGGTGGGACTGGCAAAGATGGGAAAAGGAAATTGACTGGATGGCTCTTCAAGGCATCAATATGCCTTTGGCGTTTACTGGGCAAGAAGCTATCTGGCAAAAAGTATTTGAGGTATTTAACTTTTTTCCTCTTATTTCAGTTCATGAGACAATTTCTCTTATGAAATCTTAGAATTGCCTTTGTTTGACTTTTGCTCCATGTTAACAAGAAGCCCAGTCTATTATAAGCTTTGCACTTGGACATCATTATTTGTCTCCAGGTTACCTTAAGTGAGAAGTCAATAATTAGTTTCACTTATCTGGTTGAAGTTTTTGGTGTCGAAATCTAGAGGTAAGTCAACTGAATAAATTTGTCATACATGTGACAAACAATAAACATATCTGTTATCCATCATAGCTTCCTGCAATCTCGTAAGGTCAGAATCCTAATTTAGTTTTCTCTTGTGCATTTGACTAGGGAAGTCCTCTTATTGCTTTGAGAAAATTCCTCCACTTTTGACTACCTTTATGACACCCTCATTTTGTGATCTGCCCGTTCTCAATGCCCCACTTTTTCCAAGCATTTCAGTTTGACTAGATTGATTATAGATGGTTCTAAATTCTTCCTGCAGATGATTCTAGACTGATTAGTGAACCACACCTCCGTCAATTATTTAAAGGTTTTTCCGTTCATGAGTCTTCCATAAAATTATGATATTTGTTGCTACGCAAAACAGGGCCTGGAACCCCCCCTGCCTATGTGACCCTGCCACCCTTGTGTATTAGGGTCACGTAGGCCACCTGAGGGGCTGAAGCTACGGTATATCATCTGCGACCCTTGTCATTTGTACGAGATCTTGACACCCTTGCATATTAGGGTTGTGTAGGCCATCTGAGGATTTGAAGCTACGGTACATCATCCTCGAGGCTTTTTTTTGTGCGCGACCTGGCACCTTCGCGTACCAAGGTCCCATAGCCCAGCAGGGGCCATACTTAGACGATTTATTTGGCAGCTCTTGGTGGGTTTCGCCCATTTTGGCCCCTCTCCTTCCTTCAGCTCATATTTGCCATATATAAGCCTTCTATTATCAGTTTTCTTTAAGTTTCTAGAGAGGAGAGCTTACTCCATTTGGCTGTCTACTAGTTTTGGGTGATCAATCTCCATTGTAAGTTTCTTTGTACTCCCTTTGGTATATCAATACAAGTGACCTCTCTCCGGCGGACATACATTATGTAAATTCCGTGTCTAGTTTACTTGGTTGACTATGTTAACTTGTTTATGCTTATATTGCCTTGGAATTATACTTGGATAGCCATTTAGTTGTTTGCTAGACCCTAGTTATTCCGCTTTTGTTGTTGGTGGTTCACTTGCACTTGGATCTCGGTATTTTGGGACCTATGGGATCGTTTGTTGGTTTGTTTGGCAAGGTTTGAACCCTAAATGCCATAAAATTTAAAAGCAATCCCTGTTCCTTATGAATATTAACGTCAATCATCCATATGATATGATTACATAACCGTCCGAATTTGTTTTTTGAACCTGGCTATGCATATTGATTTCTTTCTCTTAATAAATGTTTGTTGATCTTTTGGCAGAATTTTAATATTAGCAGTTCTGATTTGAATGATTTCTTTGGAGGGCCTGCATTTCTTGCATGGTCTCGGATGGCCAACTTGCATGGGTGAGTCTTGTGTTCTTATAGTTCTTCCCGATTGCCTACTTGATCTTCTTATCTGAGCGGTCCTGTTTCTGTCAAGGATGTTTTCGTCCTACCAGTTATGCATCTATATTTTCGGTGACCTTAAGACCTTTGGGTAATCTGTAGTCCTACCAATGCTTGAAGCCGATCTTGTACTTAATTTGAGATGCCGCTTGATTGAGGCAAATCTTCGGTAGTTATCAGATGCATCTCAATGTTTAAGAAAGGCAGTTGCTGCGTTAAACTTCATTTCCACAAATACTAGAGAATCTCAATTTTAATGTGCTTCTGGAAATCATATCTCACACGAAAGCCCCATGAGGTCCATCTAGCTTGCCCTATGTGGATAGCGCTCCCTAGCAGTATTCATTTAATTGCACATACTAGACAACCCTATTTCATTTAAATGTTAAAATGGTCTACTCCAAATGTCATGTAAATCTTTCTGGTTCAGTAACTAGCAGTTTTATTCATATCACCATCCATAAATATCCTTTTGTTTTTGGCTGGCATGAATTATCGGACATGTTCATGTCCTTGTTTATTACCTGACGCAGATTGCTCAGACAGTAGTGTATACTGGTACATTACATCTATTTTTGTTGACTCTTTTGTTGTTTTCCTTGTAATCAAATATCTGGACACAACCTCATTAAGGAAAGTTTAGGAAGAGCTATGGTATCCTAAAAAGATAATTTTACATTCAGCTTTAAAATTGCATGGCAGTCATATTAACCTCTTCAAAGATTTTGGGTACCAGTGTAAATGAAACATAGCAAGCCACATGCATGTCTAACCATGTAACCATCAATAGACAGACTGCACCTAGTATACATTCCTATCCCTCTATTGCATGATCTCACTGATGTCTTTCTTTAAGTGGTTTTCATTAATGTCATATGTGAAGATTACATATTGATTGTAGATGGGGAGGACCACTGCCACAAAGTTGGCTGGATCAACAACTCGCAATGCAGAAGAAAATTCTTGCTAGAATGTATGAGCTTGGAATGACTCCAGGTACAATAGAATTGTTGGGATAATGCATCTGCCACTCTAAGTGCCATGAACTACAATGGTAGTTGGCATGATTAATCAATGAAAGCAGTTTCAGTAAGGAGAAAGCAAAATTGTGTGTAAGCCTCCCAATACTCATATTTTTTTGTTGCAGTCCTCCCAGCGTTCTCAGGAAATGTACCTGCAGCTTTGAAAAATGTATATCCATCAGCAAAGATTACACATCTAGGGAATTGGTGAGTGTTCTTGTTTTATATAGTCTCATCTGATGCTGTTGGGTATGTAACTGATAAATTGTAATTCAATTACTTCTTAGAAGATTAAGGTATTTTTTAGTAATCAACATGTATGCTTATAGCCATTCTATTTAATATCTTGCTTCTGGAGTGTTAACATGATAAGCTTTTGATATACGCTAAGTGACAGATTCGATATTCTAGTCATGGGCATACATTTCAGGTCTCTCTCTAGATGAATTGTGAATAGAGGTTGAAAGCATATAGTGTTACCTTTCCCCTACAAAATATTCCTTTGGAGATCACTAATCAAATAGTTTTGGAGATTTTGGTATGTTGGAAAGGCTCCACTTACTATCATCATTATTATTTGATGCTTGGAGTTGATCTCCACTTACCATCATCATTATTACTTGAGTGCAACCGAAGAATGATTGGAGTTGATCTTTATTTAGATCACACACATACACGAGTATGCGATTCCATTGAAACTTTATTAAATAATAACAAGATTTTTAAAATTTCGCTCATTTGCTCTTCTCAGTTTGTGATATATATGTCATCTTAATGCATTTAAACCAGCTTACCGATTGCTTCCTCTCTGATCGTGCATTTAAATGTTCTTTTTCCATGATGAGCTGTTGCAATTTGAAAAGTGCTACCTACTATTGTTTAATTTCTACTCTAATCTCACTGAAATCATCTTAATGTTCAACTGTGATTTATTGCCCCCCATTTAGCAAGGAAATTGTTATTATGTTATTCCTCCTAGGTTTACAGTTGACAGCAACCCAAAATGGTGCTGTACTTATCTTCTTGATGCATCTGATCCCTTATTCATCGAGATTGGGAAAGCATTTATACAGCAACAAATCAAAGGTGTGCCTTTCACAATCTTCATATTACAGTAGTCATCGTTCTTGTTTTCTGAATCACATAATGCCTTTCTAATATTTGTAATTCTGGGATTACTTCTTGTTTTCAGAGTATGGACGGAGTAGCCATATATACAACTGGTAAACTTCTCTGCTTATTGGCTTCTGGTTCATGATTTCCCATGTCTCCTGTTTATTCTTTAGCTCTCATGCTTCAGAAGAACTTCTCTTAGATGTCAACTGTATATACTGATAAGAAATACTCTGGTCGTATTTATTTCATATTTTATAAAGGAATATCTGGCTGGAAAACTTTGTTGTAACGTCCCTGTATAACCAATTTTTGGAGCTTTCCCTTCTCTCATTCCTTCTACCTCTCTCTCTCTCATCTTGCAACAATTCGTATTGTATCACTGTGTTGCAGTGATACATTTGATGAGAACACACCACCAACAGATGATCCACAGTACATTTCTTCCCTGGCAGCTGCAATTTTTAAGGGAATGCAAAGTGGTGATGATGATGCTGTTTGGCTAATGCAGGTAAAAAACCAGAACAGTTCGTTCATCAGGTTGAATATCTATTTTAGTTCCTAAATCCCAACTAGTGAAGTTTGTCTGGCAAATAATAATTATTCTCATCTGCATACCCCTTGTACTGCCAATCACAGATTCCTATTATTTTGTTTATTCAGGGATGGCTCTTTGCATATGATCCATACTGGAGGCCTCCACAGATGCAGGTTATGCCCTCCCCCCCCCCCCAAAAAAAAAAGAACCCTTCCTATCCACTCTAATGCACCTTCATTTTCTCAATCTTGCATGATCTATTCGTGTGCATCAANTTCACTCTGATACACCTTCATTTTCTCAATCTTGCATGATCTATTCGTATGCATCAATTACCACTGAAGAAAATTCTTAATGATTAATTTAAGGGAGTATTTATTTCATAATAATTCATAATGGAAACTTGTATATATCTTAATTGAGTGTAGACCTTCTGGTTCTTCAATATTTGTCGATCTTCTGTTTTTGCTAGTATGCTTTTGTGTTTTCTGATGTTAATGCCTTGCATTCTTCTTTCAGGCACTCTTACATTCTGTTCCTATTGGGAAAATGATTGTCCTTGATCTTTATGCTGAAGTCAATCCTATTTGGACTACTTCAAATCAGTTCTATGGCGTTCCTTATATCTGGAAAGTTAAATCTTTCGCTTCTAAGCACTCATGATAAGTTAGCTAGTACATTCTTTGCATGTTGATAATGAACATCTGTGCCTGTTGCTGCTTTTTATATTTGTTGATAACAGGAAACATGGGATTGTGTTTTATTTTGTTTTATTAAAGTTTCACCGACTTTCTATAACCAACAACCCATCATAGGTTATATAATGGTTCCTTGAGTTAGAGAGAGGGAAAAGGCGGGAAGAAAAGGAAAGAAAGAACCCTATGTGAAATAAGCTACGTAGTAAGGACCTTTCAAATGTCTGGCATGTAGAAGAACTAGCCTTAAGGCCTATCAGATACTAAGCGTATGAAGGACAATGGATGCGGTTGGCCATTTCCTTGGTTAGGATTTAAGGATTTTGTACTGTTCCCAATGTCCCAAAATTATTGTCCATCTTTCATTTTATAAGTCAAAATATATGGGTCAATAAACTCTACACACGGATCCATAGAAACAACAGAAAGAAGGTAAGGAATCTTGGGTATATATAGAATTTTATTATGTGATTTGATTCTGTGATACGAGCTATTGGCCCATGCCCCAAGATTATGGTGATTCAGATAGGATTCCGACTTGCTAATGAGATTCGTGTTGTTTTGCCTTGTGAAATAATTCAATTTGTAAGATCTTCATTGTGAATTTGAAAACAGATTCAAACAGATGAGTTTTCAACTTGACAACCAGCTGAAACTGTTTTGGTTGCAGAGAGAAAATTGATAGCTACATTAAGAGTGATAAGAGTATTACAATAGACATCAGTGTTCACAGGGCTAAGAAAGGTCTATTTTGCTAGTTTCTTCCAGCTTATGAACAAATACCTTATCAAAATGATTGTTTCCATTTTGACCAGAACTTATTATTTGCAAAAGTTAGAATATCCAATTCTATTATAAATCGAAAATGCTCTCTTTTCTAGAAGGGATAAAAAAATTCCACCCTGGAAGTACCCAAAACCAAAGGAACCTCTCCTACCCCCATCCATTTTGGGTTAAGATGTCAAAGTGCCTTAATCTTGTATGCATTCCTGACATGGGAGAGAAGTGCCTTAATCTTGTAATTAAGAGGCCTCAATCCCCCTCCCCTGGCAACCCCCTACTGTAGTGCCCCCAAATTGTAGAATTCACCTATAGCATACCATACTAATCGATCCACCTGCATGTCCATTTTTATTTGTAGAATTCTAATTTGTTGAGGCTGTTAAGTAATTATTTGTGTAGCTATGACTTTAAATTTTTTTTGATGCAAAGAAGAGTGATCAACTTAATTGAGTGTCCAGTCTTAGCATAGTATCTTTTTCCTTTCTGATCATGTTCATGTAGTCACCTTGTTCCTTCTATAACTATTATTTGCTGCTACACAGGTGCATGCTGCATAATTTTGCAGGGAATGTCGAGATGTATGGTGTTTTAGATTCTGTAGGATCTGGACCAATTGAAGCTCGTATTAGCAAGAACTCAACAATGGTAAGCCAAGTGTTAAACTGTCATTTGTTGCATATACTGTTTACGATGTTGAACCTAGCACCAAATTTTGCTTGTAGAGTTATGCAGCATTATTTGATTTCTGAGCTCTGGTTAATGTCCATGTGAGATATAAGATTTGTACATAAAAATTCTTTTCCACTCATGCAGAAACTATTGATGAAAATTTAGCGTTGCATTTTTTGGATTGTCCATAAAATGAAGAGTTCTCGGTCATAATTTTATGTAATTCTTTACTTTATGCTTTTAATCTGATGTGGTGTTCTGTTAGGTTGGTGTTGGAATGTCAATGGAAGGTATTGAGCAGAATCCCGTGGTTTACGATCTCATGTCTGAAATGGCATTTCAGCACAAGAAAATTGATGTCAAGGTAGCATAAACTTCTCTGTTGACAAATGTAACAAGGAGTGTGTGCATGTCAATTTGAAGTCAGCCATCTAACTAAATCTGAATTGAGTACCCTGTGAAGGAAACCAAAAACATTCTTTGACTTCTCTAATTTTGTGCTGATTATTATTAATAATATACATGTCATCCAGAAATGGGTTGATTCATATTCAACCAGACGATATGGAAAGTTTGTTCCATCAGTGCAAGAGGCCTGGAGCATATTATATCACACAGTTTATAATTGCACTGATGGTGCCTATGTAAGTTATGTTTAATTCTTTTAATTACCAACTGAAAGCATAGATTGTTTTTAGCTGCATCTTGATTTTAATAAAAACTTATGTCGGTAAACACTTCCAGGATAAAAATAGGGATGTAATAGTGGCATTCCCAGATGTTGATCCAGCCTTACTTTCTAAGCCACAAATAGCTGGACGAAGATATCTCAGGTCCTCAAATCCTTTGTTGAAGTGGAATTACCTAAAAGATACAGATGAACCGTTCGACAAACCCCATCTGTGGTACTCAACTTCAGAAGTTATACGTGCACTACAACTTTTCATTGAAGGGGGGAATGAACTATCAGGAAGCAACACTTACAGGTGAATCATTCATACTTTCTTGGTTTCCAATTCATCGTCGGTTCTCGAGAGTTTTATTTTATTTTCTCTACTCCTGGCCATGAAAACTACAATGTTTAACTATGCACATGTTTTTAGGAGTGTACTATTTGTCATATATCTAAAATGCTATTTACTAGTGACCAAAGGGATGAAGGTTATGACCAGAATCAATAGCATCAAAAAGTTGCCCATTTAGGCTTTGTTTAGGTGGTTGAGATTTTCTCATGATAACATAGAGGTTTTGAGTTCAAATCTTATACTCTATTATCGATAACATTGAAAATCATCCGGGCTTTGCTTAGATGAATTACCAGATGTGCATTAACGGGCTGGCAACAAAAGTTTCAACCTCTTGTAGTGTAGAAAAGTTGAAAGAATGATAATGGGCAAAGTATGCAACCCTACATTGAAAATTTGCCATAAACAAAATAAGGGTCCATTTGGTTTACAGGATTCAATAAGATTTTGAGGGATTTGGAATTGAATTCCATTCCAATGCTATGATTGGTTTGAAGTAATGCTTGGACTGCAAAATTCCTCAACCGATGGATTTAAAAATCCTATGGGGTAGTTGGTATTTCATGGGATTTTGTAGGATTTGTTTATAAAAATGTTCTAAAATGTGTGGAAAACATTTCTTTTGTAATAATCAATCAATAAAAGGTAATTTAATTATTTGTATAATTATTTTGTAATTTGGCTTTATAAAATATATTATAAACAATAGAATTCAATTCCATTCCAAATCCTACAAACCAAACATTCCAAATCTTTTCAATTTCTTCCAAATCCCAATTCTTCCAATTTGAAATCCTTTCACGAAATCCAAATCCCTCAAAAACATTCCGTCAAACCAAATGGGCCCTAAGTGTCGACTTTCAAAAGTGACTATTTTACATGTCTACCTTATGAGATGGAGAAATTCATTGCTCTCTCTGTTATTAAGCGTAAAATAGTCATTTGGTTAATTAAAAGTGTAATAGTTACACGTTACTATGTGCATTTTTAATTATGAACATTTATATTGGGGCGGAGGGAGTAATTTCATGGAAAATCCCAAAGGAGAAATTTGTTATAATTTTTATTAGACAGAGGGACTACCAGCAATATTTCTTTTCATCTATATATTTGCTTCTTTCCTACTTTCAGATATGACCTTGTCGACTTGACGAGGCAAGCGTTGGCAAAGTATGCAAACGATCTGTTTCTAGATGTTATTAAATCCTATGAATTACATGATGATCATGGTGTTGCTCACCTTAGCGAGAAGTTTCTAGACCTTGTGGATGATATGGACACACTCTTAGCTTGCCATGAAGGGTTTCTGCTAGGACCATGGTTGGAGAGTTCAAAGCAACTCGCCATAGACAATGAACAGGAGAAACAGGCAAGTTGCATCTTTAACTAGCATCTAACTTGCTTTTTAAACCAATATCTTCTCGAAAAGAATCTTAATGTCTTATCGACAATAACAGTACGAATGGAATGCAAGAACTCAAATCACAATGTGGTTTGATAACACAGCGGAGGAAGCAAGTCTGCTTCGTGATTATGGTAAGTTCAAATAAGATGTTGCTTTCTATTTATCTATAGCAAATGCCAACGATGATCAAACTTATACAAAGCCCATTGAGAAGACACAAACCATTAACTGAGCGATCTAATTCCCTCCGTCTCATTAAAGAGTTCTTATCTTAAAATTACCATTTGCATATTATCAAGATTATAACCACAAGGGTGGTGCCTGATTGGTTTGAGCTTGAGCTTGAGCTCCAAAGGTTAAGAGTACCTGGAGGTCTCATGTTCAAATTCACGGAGGAATAAAAATCCCCTTGTGGCCACGGAGGTTCAAATGCGTTGACTCCGGGCTACCCGCAAAGCAGGTCGCCCTGGGATTAGTCGGTTGCATAGTGGGTTGGATATCCAGGTTAATAAAAAAAAAGATTACATATAAATTTTTGTTGTTCTATGTCTAGATTGAAGAAATTTTTGAACAATTCTCCTACACTATGTGCCTGGTTAAATATTACAGTTCTAAAGAAACAAAGGGAGTATTGTGTTTTTAGCAAAGTTATTCCATTTAAAAGACTCCTGCCAAAAAACTGAAAATTACAATTACAACCCTACACTTTATAAACAGTTACATGCATTCTGCCACTAGAATGTAGCACGGTTGGTTCCAGAGTGGTATACTCACACAAACAGGCGAGCGTTTGAGTCAGAAAAGCCATGGTGTGGGAATTGAGCTTCTTTTGGGAACTTCTCTCTTAAGCCAACCACCTGACACACTACGCTGTTGTGTACCTCATTTGCCTCCTTCATATGTTCTTGGGGCGGGGTAGCCGGATACAAAGTTTGATGCTTCACACATTTGGCTATAACTCCAAATGTGTTCATTACCCGTTTGCGCAGGAAACAAGTACTGGAGTGGACTTCTACGAGACTACTACGGTCCTCGAGCAGCCATCTATTTTAAATATCTGAGAGAGAGTTTGTCCAAGGGAGAGGTGTTCGATTTAAAGAGTTGGAGGAGAGAATGGATCGAGCTTACAAACGGGTGGCAAAATGGTAGGGATGTGTATCCTGTTAAGAGTGAAGGTGATGCCCACAACACATCCCGATGGCTATTTGACGTATACTTACGTGGTTCTGGTTTAAATGATCATTAACTGCTACACTTCCATATGTACGGAATTGTTTGTTTACCTCTTAATAGTTCCATTAAGAGACAAACTCTGAATCGTTAAGAGGTGAATCTTGTTTGGCAAAAAAAAAAAGTTAGCCTCTTAATTGTTCTAAAACCCTCTGAATCATTTTGTATCATGGGTCTTTTTTAACCATTAAGCGTCCTAATTTCATTGTAAACAATTATCAAACAATTATATTTCATTTTGCACTATATCATGAGAGTCACTTAATAATTCTGACTACTTAATCATTCAGCACTAAATCATTCAGCCAAACAACCTCGTTTCTTACTCTATATAGGAGTCACTATGTATTTATATCAAATGAAACTTGCAGTCCCTTTCCATGATGAAGACAAATTATTTATCATCTATTACTTAATTTATAATCTAATTTATTTATTTTAATTTAATACTCATTAAGATTTTAATATTTATTTATTAAATAATTATCAAAAATATAACTTTGATAAATAATGGGGAGTGCTAATGGCACCCCATTGATAGGGTGTCAATTACATTGGAACTTGAATCTTATTAAAAAAATAAAAAATTAATAATATAATATAATATAATATATTTTATTATTATTACTTTATATATTAATATATATCTTATAATTTTATATATATATATATAT